ACATCATATACTTCTACTGCATGTACTTCTACTTCATGTACTTCTACTTCATGTACTTATACTTCATGTACTTATACTTCATGTTCTACTACTTCATGTACTTATACTTCATGTACTTCTACTGCATGTACTTCTACTTCATGTACTTCTACTTCATGTACTTCTACTTCATGTACTTATACTTCATGTACTTATTCTTCATGTACTACTACTTCATGTACTACTACTTCATGTACTACTACTGCATGTACTTCTACTGCATGTACTACTACTTCATGTACTACTACTGCATGTACTTCTACTGCATGTACTTCTACTTCATGTACTACTACTTCATGTATTACTACTTCATGTACTTATACTTCTTGTACTACTACTTCATGTACTTCTACTTCATGTACTTATACTTCATGTTCTACTACTTCATGTACTTATACTTCATGTACTTCTACTTCATGTACTACTACTTCATGTATTACTACTTCATGTACTTATACTTCTTGTATTACTACTTCATGTACTTCTACTTCATGTACTTATACTTCATGTTCTACTACTTCATGTACTTCTACTTCATGTTCTACTACTTCATGTACTTCTACTTCATGTACTACTACTTCATGTACTTATACTTCATGTACGACTACTTCATGTACTTATACTTCATGTACTACTACTTCATGTACTTATACTTCATGTACTACTACGTCATGTACTTCTACTTCATTTACTTCTACTTCATGTACTTCTACTGCATGTACTACTACTGCATGTACTACTACTGCATGTACTACTACTGCCTGTACTTCTACTGCATGTACTACTACTGCATGTACTACTACTGCATGTACTTCTACTGAATGTACTTCTACTTCATGTACTTCTACTTCATGTACTTAAACTTCATGTACTACTACTTCATGTACTACTACTTCATGTACTTCTACTTCATGTACTTCTACTTCATGTACTACTACTTCATGTACTACTACTTCATGTACTTCTACTTCATGTACTTATACTTCATGTTCTACTACTTCATGTACTTATACTTCATGTACTTCTACTTCATGTACTACTACTACTTCATGTACTTCTACTTCATCTACTTATACTTCATGTTCTACTACTTCATGTACTTCTACTTCATGTGCTTCTACTTCATGTACTACTACTGCATGTATTTCTACTTCATGTACTACTACTTCATGTACTTATACTTCATGTACTACTACTTCATGTACTTATACTTCATGTATTACTACTTCATGTACTTATACTTCTTGTACTACTACTTCATGTACTTCTACTTCATCTACTTATACTTCATGTTCTACTACTTCATGTACTTCTACTTCATGTGCTTCTACTTCATGTACTACTACTGCATGTATTTCTACTTCATGTACTACTACTTCATGTACTTATACTTCATGTACTACTACTTCATGTACTTATACTTCATGTACTACTACTTCATGTACTTATACTTCATGTACTACTACGTCATGTACTTCTACTTCATTTACTTCTACTTCATGTACTACTACTTCATGTACTTCTACTTCATGTACTACTACTTCATGTACTACTACTTCATGTACTACTACTTAATGTACTTCTACTTCATGTACTTCTACTTCATGTACTTCTACTTCATGTACGACTACTTCATGTACTACTACTTCATGTACTTATACTTTATGTACTACTACTTCATGTACTTCTAGGCAAGGCAAGGCAAGTTTATTTATATAGCACAATTCATACACAAGGTAATTCAAAGTACTTCTACTGCATGTACTACTACTTCATGTACTTCTACATCATATACTTCTACTGCATGTACTTCTACTTCATGTACTTCTACTTCATGTACTTATACTTCATGTACTTATACTTCATGTTCTACTACTTCATGTACTTATACTTCATGTACTTCTACTGCATGTACTTCTACTTCATGTACTTCTACTTCATGTACTTCTACTTCATGTACTTATACTTCATGTACTTATTCTTCATGTACTACTACTTCATGTACTACTACTTCATGTACTACTACTGCATGTACTTCTACTGCATGTACTACTACTTCATGTACTACTACTGCATGTACTTCTACTGCATGTACTTTTACTTCATGTACTACTACTTCATGTATTACTACTTCATGTACTTATACTTCTTGTACTACTACTTCATGTTCTTCTACTTCATGTACTTATACTTCATGTTCTACTACTTCATGTACTTATACTTCATGTACTTCTACTTCATGTACTACTACTTCATGTATTACTACTTCATGTACTTATACTTCTTGTATTACTACTTCATGTACTTCTACTTCATGTACTTATACTTCATTTTCTACTACTTCATGTACTTCTACTTCATGTTCTACTACTTCATGTACTTCTACTTCATGTACTACTACTTCATGTACTTATACTTCATGTACGACTACTTCATGTACTTATACTTCATGTACTACTACTTCATGTACTTATACTTCATGTACTACTACGTCATGTACTTCTACTTCATTTACTTCTACTTCATGTACTTCTACTTCATGTACTTCTACTTCATGTTCTACTACTTCATGTACTTCTACTTCATGTACTACTACTTCATGTACTTATACTTCATGTACTACTACTTCATGTACTTCTACTTCATACACTTCTACTTCATGTACTTCTACTTAGTGTACTTATACTTCCTATACTTTATGCTTCATATACGTTTTATATTATAAATATATTTTTCGGATTGTTCTTTGATGTTGTTGTTTCTCAGACCTTAGATCTATAAACTCTAAACTCAGAGATGAACTTTGACAGTTTCCATGGTTACCACAGCTTTAAACTACAGCGCTAACATGTCTAATGTCTAAAATGTTTAAGTCTAACATGTCTAACATGTCTAAGTCTAACATGTCTAACATGTCTAAGTCTAACATGTCTAATGTCTAAAATGTTTAAGTCTAACATGTCTGACATGTCTAAGTCTAACATGTCTAAGTCTAACATGTCTAATGTCTAAAATGTCTAAGTCTAACATGTCAAAGTTTAACATGCCTAATGTCTAACATGTCTAAGTCTAACATGTCAAAGTCTAACATGTCTAATGTCTAACATGTCTAAGTCTAACATGTCTAATGTCTAAAATTTCTAAGTCTAACATGTCAAAGTCTAACATGTCTAATGTCTAACATCCATCAGAGACCTGTAGGACCATCAGACACCTCTAGGACCATCAGAGACCTGTAGGACCATCAGACACCTCTAGGACCATCAGAGACCTGTAGGACCATCAGAGACCTGTAGGACCATCAGAGACCTGTAGGACCATCAGACACCTCTAGGACCATCAGACACCTCTAGGACCATCAGAGACCTGTAGGACCATCAGACACCTCTAGGACCATCAGAGACCTGTAGGACCATCAAAGACCTGTAGGACCATCAGACACCTGGATGACCATCAGAGAGGTCTCTGACCATCAGACATCTGTAGGACCATCAGAGACCTGTCGGACCATCAGAGACCTCTAGGACCATCAGAGACCTGTAGGACCATCAGACACCTGTTGGACCATCAGAGACCTGTAGGACCATCAGAGGACCATCAGACTTCTGTAGGACCATCAGAGACCTGTAGGATCCATCAGAGGACCATCAGACACCTGTAGGACCATCAGAGGACCATCAGAGACCTGTAGGACCATCAGAGGACCATCAGAGACCTGAAGGTGTCTCTCGTTCTCTTGATCCTCATGTTTAGTACGGATCTTTAACTGTGTCCTCTGAGTTTTGCTGAATAGTTCTGTGGCTCTGACACATGGTGCTGAATAGTTCTGTGGCTCTGACACATGGTGCACCATGTGACCCTGACCTGGGGCAGCTGCGGCTGCGTCTCGTGGACTGTCTCTGACGACCTTAGACCTCGGTCTGAGTCTGTGCAGAGACAGGAGCTGAACTTTCTACAGTGGTTAGCACTCTCACTTCCTGGGTTCGAATCCTGGTCAGAACAGGGCCTTTCTGAGTGGAGTTTGCATGTTCTCTCCGTGCCTGCGTAGGTTTCCTCCGGGTGCTCCGGTTTCCCCTACGACTAAAAACATGTGCCATAGTCTGAATGTAACGAGTGATTGATGGTGTTAGGGCTTTGATCCAGTGTGTTCTGTCGTCACCATGTGAATGGAAAAATATCTGGTTTCTGAGCATTGTAAAGTGCTTTGGGTGACGTTGGTCTGTTAAATGCGTTATATAAATAAATATTACTCAGTCACTTACTCACTGCACAAAAGGAGAAACTGAGGTTTGTTTCAACAGGATGTTGAACTAAACTGCACTTGATAAATGTAGAATAATAGTGAGATTTTTCATGTTGGTGAGAGCAGCAGATCCACAGGGGGAGGGGTAGAGAGGGGGGAGGGAGGGGAAGGGAGGGGGGTTATTACAGGGAGAGAGGGGGGAGGAGGAGAGGAAGGGAGGGGGTTATTACAGGGAGACGAGTGGGGGAGTGGAGAGGAAGGGAGGGGGGTTATTTTACAGGGAGAGAGGAGGGAGGTAGAGAAGGGAGAGAGGGGGGGGGGGGGGTGGGGGGGGGGGGGGGGTCATGGCTGAGACAGAGACTATAGTAACCAGTCCAGAGTGGGACTGGTCCCAGATCTTTCTATAACACATTAACATCTGTTTATCTGACTTCATTCACAAACAGAAATGTACAAACTTATTGTTGTTGTTGTTGTTGTGTCATGGACAGAATGTGTGTTACATCAGGACCATGGGAAGTTTCCCTTTAAGAATGTTTGGCACCAACGAACTGTTGCTATTGGCTGCATTCAGGCGACTGCAAAAGTACATCCGGAACAAGATGCTAGTGACAAACATCGCCTGATACTATGTATATATATATATATATATATTTATATATATGTATATATATATATATATTTGTTTCAGACTTCGCAGTTTGCTGAAGCAGTTGGAGGAGAAGGAGGTCAACTTTGAGGAAATTAAAAATAACTTGGATATAACTGCGTCTCTGCTGGAGGCCGTGTACTTAGATGGAACCAGGTACAGACAGAAACATGTGTTTTCATTGGTAAAAGTTGTACTGTCTCTAAGTGTGTGTGTGTGTGTGTGTGTGTTTGTGTGTGTGTTTGTGTGTGTGTGTGTTTGTGTGTGTGTGTGTGTGTTTGTGTGTGTGTGTGTGTGTGTCTCTCTCTCTGTGTGTGTCTCAGGCAGACCCTGGAGTCAGAGGAGGACCTGCTGCAGTCTGAGGACGTGCCAACGGAGGTCACTGATTGGCTGTCGTCCACCTTCACTCAGAAAATCAGACCCACGAGAAAAACCGACGAGAAGCACAAGTTCCGCAGCATCGTTCATGCCGTTCAGGCCGGGATCTTTGTGGAACGGTAACTTAGGAACTTTGTGGAACGGTAACTTAGGAACTTTGTGGAACGGTAACTCAGGAACTTTGTGGAACGGTAACTTAGGATCTTTGTGGAACGGTAACTTAGGAACTTTGTGGAACGGTAACTTAGGAACTTTGTGGAACGGTAACTTAGGAACTTTGTGGAACGGTAACTTAGGATCTTTGTGGAACGGTAACTTAGGAACTTTGTGGAACGGTAACTTAGGAACTTTGTGGAACGGTAACTTAGGAACTTTGTGGAACGGTAACTCAGGAACTTTGTGGAATGGTAACTTAGGATCTTTGTGGAACGGTAACTTAGGAACTTTGTGGAACGGTAACTTAGGAACTTTGTGGAACGGTAACTTAGGAACTTTGTGGAACGGTAACTTAGGATCTTTGTGGAACGGTAACTTAGGAACTTTGTGGAACGGTAACTTAGGAACTTTGTGGAACGGTAACTTAGGAACTTTGTGGAACGGTAACTTAGGATCTTTGTGGAACGGTAACTTAGGAACTTTGTGGAACGGTAACTTAGGATCTTTGTGGAACGGTAACTTAGGAACTTTGTGGAACGGTAACTCAGGAACTTTGTGGAATGGTAACTTAGGATCTTTGTGGAACGGTAACTTAGGAACTTTGTGGAACGGTAACTTAGGAACTTTGTGGAACGGTAACTTAGGAACTTTGTGGAACGGTAACTTAGGAACTTTGTGGAACGGTAACGTAGGGTCTTTGTGGAATGGTAACTTAGGAACTTTGTGGAACGGTAACTTAGGGTCTTTGTGGAACGGTAACTTAGGATCTTTGTGGAACGGTAACTTAGGAACTTTGTGGAACCGTAACTTAGGAACTTTGTGGAACCGTAACTTAGGAACTTTGTGGAACGGTAACTTAGGAACTTTGTGGAACGGTAACGTAGGGTCTTTGTGGAATGGTAACTTAGGAACTTTGTGGAACGGTAACTTAGGGTCTTTGTGGAACCGTAACTTAGGAACTTTGTGGAACGGTAACTTAGGAACTTTGTGGAACGGTAACTTAGGATCTTTGTGGAACGGTAACTTAGGAACTTTGTGGAACGGTAACTTAGGATCTTTGTGGAACGGTAACTTAGGAACTTTGTGGAACGGTAACTTAGGAACTTTGTGGAACGGTAACTTAGGAACTTTGTGGAACCGTAACTTAGGAACTTTGTGGAACGGTAACTTAGGAACTTTGTGGAACCGTAACTTAGGAACTTTGTGGAACCGTAACTTAGGAACTTTGTGGAACCGTAACTTAGGAACTTTGTGGAACGGTAACTTAGGAACTTTGTGGAACCGTAACTTAGGATCTTTGTGGAACCGTAACTTAGGAACTTTGTGGAACCGTAACTTAGGAACTTTGTGGAACCGTAACTTAGGAACTTTGTGGAACCGTAACTTAGGAACTTTGTGGAACGGTAACTTAGGAACTTTGTGGAACCGTAACTCAGGAACTTTGTGGAACGGTAACTTAGGAACTTTGTGGAACGGTAACTCAGGATCTTTGTGGAACGGTAACTTAGGAACTTTGTGGAACGGTAACTTAGGAACTTTGTGGAACGGTAACTTAGGAACTTTGTGGAACGGTAACTTAGGAACTTTGTGGAACGGTAACTTAGGAACTTTGTGGAACGGTAACTCAGGATCTTTGTGGAACGGTAACTTAGGATCTTTGTGGAACGGTAACTCAGGATCTTTGTGGAACGGTAACTTAGGAACTTTGTGGAACCGTAACTTAGGAACTTTGTGGAACCGTAACTTAGGAACTTTGTGGAACGGTAACTTAGGAACTTTGTGGAACCGTAACTTAGGAACTTTGTGGAACGGTAACTCAGGATCTTTGTGGAACCGTAACTTAGGAACTTTGTGGAACCGTAACTTAGGAACTTTGTGGAACCGTAACTTAGGAACTTTGTGGAACCGTAACTTAGGATCTTTGTGGAACCGTAACTTAGGAACTTTGTGGAACCGTAACTTAGGAACTTTGTGGAACCGTAACTTAGGAACTTTGTGGAACGGTAACTTAGGAACTTTGTGGAACCGTAACTTAGGAACTTTGTGGAACGGTAACTTAGGATCTTTGTGGAACGGTAACTTAGGATCTTTGTGGAACGGTAACTCAGGATCTTTGTGGAACGGTAACTTAGGAACTTTGTGGAACCGTAACTTAGGATCTTTGTGGAACCGTAACTTAGGAACTTTGTGGAACCGTAACTTAGGAACTTTGTGGAACGGTAACTTAGGAACTTTGTGGAACCGTAACTTAGGAACTTTGTGGAACGGTAACTTAGGAACTTTGTGGAACGTAACTCAGGAACTTTGTGGAACGGTAACTTAGGAACTTTGTGGAACGGTAACTCAGGATCTTTGTGGAACGGTAACTTAGGAACTTTGTGGAACGGTAACTTAGGAACTTTGTGGAACGGTAACTTAGGAACTTTGTGGAACGGTAACTCAGGATCTTTGTGGAACGGTAACTTAGGATCTTTGTGGAACGGTAACTCAGGATCTTTGTGGAACGGTAACTTAGGAACTTTGTGGAACCGTAACTTAGGAACTTTGTGGAACGGTAACTTAGGAACTTTGTGGAACGGTAACTTAGGAACTTTGTGGAACGGTAACGTAGGGTCTTTGTGGAATGGTAACTTAGGAACTTTGTGGAACGGTAACTTAGGGTCTTTGTGGAACGGTAACTTAGGATCTTTGTGGAACGGTAACTTAGGAACTTTGTGGAACCGTAACTTAGGAACTTTGTGGAACCGTAACTTAGGAACTTTGTGGAACGGTAACTTAGGAACTTTGTGGAACGGTAACGTAGGGTCTTTGTGGAATGGTAACTTAGGAACTTTGTGGAACGGTAACTTAGGGTCTTTGTGGAACCGTAACTTAGGAACTTTGTGGAACGGTAACTTAGGAACTTTGTGGAACGGTAACTTAGGATCTTTGTGGAACGGTAACTTAGGAACTTTGTGGAACGGTAACTTAGGATCTTTGTGGAACGGTAACTTAGGAACTTTGTGGAACGGTAACTTAGGAACTTTGTGGAACGGTAACTTAGGAACTTTGTGGAACCGTAACTTAGGAACTTTGTGGAACGGTAACTTAGGAACTTTGTGGAACCGTAACTTAGGAACTTTGTGGAACGGTAACTTAGGAACTTTGTGGAACCGTAACTTAGGAACTTTGTGGAACGGTAACTTAGGAACTTTGTGGAACCGTAACTTAGGATCTTTGTGGAACCGTAACTTAGGAACTTTGTGGAACCGTAACTTAGGAACTTTGTGGAACGGTAACTTAGGAACTTTGTGGAACCGTAACTTAGGAACTTTGTGGAACCGTAACTCAGGAGCTTTGTGGAACGGTAACTTAGGAACTTTGTGGAACGGTAACTCAGGATCTTTGTGGAACGGTAACTTAGGAACTTTGTGGAACGGTAACTTAGGAACTTTGTGGAACGGTAACTTAGGAACTTTGTGGAACGGTAACTTAGGAACTTTGTGGAACGGTAACTTAGGAACTTTGTGGAACGGTAACTCAGGATCTTTGTGGAACGGTAACTTAGGATCTTTGTGGAACGGTAACTCAGAATCTTTGTAGAATGGTAACTTAGGAACTTTGTGGAACCGTAACTTAGGAACTTTGTGGAACCGTAACTTAGGAACTTTGTGGAACGGTAACTTAGGAACTTTGTGGAACGGTAACTTAGGAACTTTGTGGAACGGTAACTCAGGATCTTTGTGGAACCGTAACTTAGGAACTTTGTGGAACCGTAACTTAGGAACTTTGTGGAACCGTAACTTAGGAACTTTGTGGAACCGTAACTTAGGATCTTTGTGGAACCGTAACTTAGGAACTTTGTGGAACCGTAACTTAGGAACTTTGTGGAACCGTAACTTAGGAACTTTGTGGAACCGTAACTTAGGAACTTTGTGGAACCGTAACTTAGGAACTTTGTGGAACCGTAACTTAGGATCTTTGTGGAACGGTAACTTAGGATCTTTGTGGAACGGTAACTCAGGATCTTTGTGGAACGGTAACTTAGGAACTTTGCGGAACCGTAACTTAGGATCTTTGTGGAACCGTAACTTAGGAACTTTGTGGAACCGTAACTTAGGAACTTTGTGGAACCGTAACTTAGGAACTTTGTGGAACCGTAACTTAGGAACTTTGTGGAACGGTAACTTAGGAACTTTGTGGAACCGTAACTCAGGAACTTTGTGGAACGGTAACTTAGGAACTTTGTGGAACGGTAACTCAGGATCTTTGTGGAACGGTAACTTAGGAACTTTGTGGAACGGTAACTTAGGAACTTTGTGGAACGGTAACTTAGGAACTTTGTGGAACGGTAACTTAGGAACTTTGTGGAACGGTAACTCAGGATCTTTGTGGAACGGTAACTTAGGATCTTTGTGGAACGGTAACTCAGGATCTTTGTGGAACGGTAACTCAGGATCTTTGTAGAATGGTAACTTAGGAACTTAAAACATAGTTTTTGTCCCCTCGTGAGTTTGTTTCATTCATTCTTGCCTCTGTTTACATACCACCATGCGCGGACGCAGAGCAAGTACTGTGTATGGAACGTTTATACCCGGACTCTCTGATTATTATCCTGGGGGATTTTAATAAGGGAAACTTGAGCCAGGAATGACCCAAATACAGACAGTTTATCAAATGCCCGACCAGAGAGGAGAACACTCTGGATCACTGCTACACCACCGTGCGCGGAGCTTTTCGCGCTGTTCCCAAGCCAGCCCTCGGCTTCTCAGATCACTCCATGATACATCTGGTTCCTGCTTACAGACAGAGACTAAAGCTCTCGAAACCTGCAGTGAGGAGCTCCAAAGTGTGGTCTGATGAAGCTGTGGAAGAGCTGCATGCATGGAATCTACAGACTAGGACTTTTTCAGAGCTGCCACAGATAGTTTGGATGAATACACGGACACTGTGACGTCATACATCCACTTCTGCGAGGATAGCA